AATCTTGGCCTTAGAATTTGCATCTAAACGTTCTTTGTTGATGTTTATAAGTCTCACCTAAACTGAAAAACACTCAAGAGAAGAATACTTGGAGAAAGAATTCTTGTTGTCCTCAGAGGCTCTGGAGATGTCTCATCCCTTCTCCTTTGACAGGACAGAGGTTGTACAAAAGAGATTGCTCAAGGTCTGTCTTTCAATACGATTTCCAAAACAGGAATTTCTGCAGATGGACAAGATAGCATTAGTAATAACTCCCCCACAGGATCAGGACTTCAGGCTCCAAAATTTTCCAAATTCTCTTTCCAAAGAGAAGGGTCAATGGAAATGAGTGTTGGTCCATTTTGGATACATATGTGTAGAGACCAAAGATACAGTCTCTAAGCTGATCAGTACACACACCAATTTAATGTGTGGTCTCTGTATTTCAACCACCCCAGAGGTTCCAAGAAACTGCTGAGGCCAATGGGAGTTTTCCAGTGATATCTGTGTACTCTGTAGCAGGGCATTCACCTAAAAACCCAAAGCTAAGAAGCCTTCTTGTACTTCTCGTATCTGCTGAAGAAGCCAAGGTGCATTTTTGTGCTAGTGTAAACAGAAATGTATGTAGTCAAGGAGCATCAGTAATTTAAAGTATCAAATAACTGGTTTCCACCTGGGATGATTGTTATATGAAACACACTAGTGATGTCTCCAACCTCTTTTACCATGGAAATGCTGAATAAGCAGAAAAGTATTAGGATGGGTAATAGCATATTCCACAGGGAGAACAAGCACTATTACTATTTCAAATCTATTAGCTGTGTTAAGGGAAGAAAAGGTGGTTCATCCCAATTCTTCTCTACTTCAGTACACAGCAGCTGCTTTTTAGTCATCAGGGATGTTGTGTCACTGAAACAGAGTCTGCTAGCTGGATTTCCAAAACACCTGTCAATTATGTAATTTAATTTAATTAATTAGTAAATTAAAGCAAAAAAATAATAGCACTTAAAAGTCATTTGGCCTGTATCTGTAGAGAACAGACTTCTCTTTGCTCTGGTAGCTATGAAGAACTAGAACCTCCAGGAGAAAGAATGCAATATATTGACTGATATCTGAGCATTTTGGAAAGCTCTCAGGCTGTTCTTCATATTCTTCACATTTCTGCCTTTCAGTCTGTACTTCTACAAGACCCTCCTGTAGAATGAGATTCACTAATCTGTGTTATTAGGACCACCTTCATGTGCAGTTGCTGTTAGCAACCAGCATTGAGGCAAACACATTTCTGCTTTAGAATAGCATAAAAAACCTACAGTAAAATCATGGAAATTACTAGTAGTCAGTAAAAAATGAAAAATAATTTGGTACCACAATATGCTTCTATTTCTGTATTTCCAGCCATGCAGTTTTTCAGTAGGTAGTGGGAATGTGCTGTCTTCCTCTTACCATTTGCCATCATCATGGCATCACCACAAAATCTGTAAGCATGAACAAGACAACCTGTGTGATGTAGGCCCCTCTGATAAGGTGAAGAAGTGCTCTCAGAGGATGACAGAAGTAATGCTGGGTATTTGCTCAACTGCTGTACCTCTAGACTCATTTTAAGTCTATGTGGCCAGTAATCTATCATGTTTCAAAAGGGTTCTGCTAGAAAAGCAGGGGTATTAGTATATATTTTTCTGTAAATTTTGCAGAACTGGGACTGCGACTTTGTATTTGTTTATTTAAAACTAAATGCTTTGACTCTGACTCAGTTCCTGAGAATCATTAGTGAAACAACTGACAGAAGTCAAATGTTATTTTAGTGACAGTATTTCTAGAAGAATAAAAAGAGGCTGTGCTGGTTTAGGCTGGGATAAAGTCAATTTTTTTCATGGTAGTTGGTATGGGGCAATGGTTTGGATCTGTGCTGAAAACGGTGCTGATAACACAGGGATGTTCTAGTTACTGCTGAGCAGCACTTGCACAGCATCAAGGCCTTTTTTGCTCCTTACACCACCCAACCAGTGAGCAGGTTGGGGGTGCAAAAGGTGTTTAGAGGGGACACAGGTGGGACAGCTGAGTCCAACTAACCAAAGCGACATTCCATACCATATGTCATCATGGTCAGCATATAGAGCTGGGAGGAGAAGAAGGAAGGGGGACATTCTGGAGTGACAGTGTTTGTGTTCCCAAGTCACCATTAAACATGATGGAGCCCAGCTTTCCCAAGGATAGCCCAACACCTGCTCATGAGAAGTAATGAATGGATTCCTTGTTTTTCTTAGCTTGTGCATGGCTTTTGCTTTACTTAGACTGTCTTTATCTCAAGCCACAATGATTTTTCACTTTTACCCTTCCCATTTTGTCCTCCATCCCACTGTGTGGGGAGTGAGCAAGCAGCTGCATAGGATTTGGTTGTTGGCTGGGATTAAACAATGACAGAGGCAAAGATTTGTTTTGCTCCTTGGGTACCTTTTCTATATATTAGTCTATTTTGGTAGGTTTTTATTTACTGTCTCATGTGACTTCTTTGCTACTGAAAATTCTTTTGAATCCATACCTGGGGGAGAATAAACATCACTCTCTACTGCAAAATCATTTATATGTATGAGATATATTCAAACAACGAACTCCATGTTGTTTGCCTCTGTTACTCTTGCTGATAGTTCTTAGAGATGCTACCTGGATCAAAAAATACTCTGCTCTGGATTTTTAAAATTTTCTTGCTGGAAAAAGTTAAACAATTTGGATGCCAGATGAAGGAAATGACTGCTATCCAAGTTCACCTGTTTGCCTGAACAAGAACTGTCTTCAGTGCACTAAAGAGAAACAAAGCCAGGGCAAGACAGAGTAAATCTTGCTTAGTCAGTGCCTTCTGATATGTTTTATAGCAAAATATAATGCATGCTGCCTTCAGCTTGCTTTAAAAGCACAGTCCTGATCAAGTCTGAGCTGGAGTTTTCTTGAATCATAGTGTGCTCTTTGGAGTTAACTGATGTTTTGCTTGAATTTCATCTCTTTGATTAATAGAGTGTGTTTACACCCCTTCCCTCTTGTTTGTGGATGGAAAGAGATCTGCTGAACAACATGGGGAAATATTTCCATCAGGGACTAATCCTATAGAAAATAAAATGTGTGTATGAGAGAGAGCATGTGAGTGGGAAAAACCACCTCCCTTTATTTCCTGTCAAGATGATGGTGAGACTGGAGAAGACCCAATTCCTCTGGAGAGTTTATTTAAACTGTGATACAAAAGATATTTTGAAAAGACAGAGGGACCTCTGGCATCATTCAGCTGTTTTATTGACTGTGGTAACAAATTTGCTCTTGGTTTGAACCCCTGGACCAAAAGGTAGCTTGAAGGAAGAATCTGAGCTTGAGGCAATGTTAGAACTTGGGGAAGGATTTGGGATAAGGAGAGCTGCAGTTGACATGAAGTTCAATGCTGTGGTGTGTTCTTAAGTTTGTTAGTTTGCTCCCCCCCTTTTCTGTATTACTTCCTGCTGCTACCCTGCCAGTTATGTTGCTATGGAAATGAAACTGCTCCTCCCTTGGTTTCTCTTATAAAGTGAAAGTTGTTTCCTCCTTGGGGTCAGTCAATCACTCTTTTTCTCCTCCCAGGTTTCGAGAATTTTCTTTTTTCTGGGAGGTATGGTTGGCTGTAGCCCCGGAGCCCCTCCTATGATTTATAACAGTTGGTTACTTTAGTATATCAGTTATGTTTCGTACCTCCAAATATGTATTTCTATTGGATAGCCGGGTTTCCCTGCCTTCTTCCCCCCTTTTCCCTTAAAACCCTCTCCTGCCCCTTGTTCGGGGCCATTTGCTGGGTGTTTTCCCCTCTTTGTTGGTTCTTCTGTAATAAACCGACAGTTTACCCCCAGCAAGTGGTCGCCTCCTAATTCGTCTCCCACCGCGCTGCTCCGAGCTATCAGCCAGCTCAGCCTGAGGCCAAAGCCGCCGAGGGGGGCTGTTTTCTGATGCGCAGGGGCCCTGGCCTTCGCCCCTCACCAGATAGCCGGATTCCAGGGCCATTCTCGCCCCCGCGCAGTGTGGCGCCCAACGTGGGGCATTCAGTAAAAGCCACGGAAGCCCTCTTAGACCGTGATGACAGGGAGACCTGACGCACCACGACATCTATCATGGCCTCTACTGTGGGTCTAGGACTACGAGGGAGAGTTTTTATAGCTTTGCGGCACTCAGCGTTTGCATTGCTATATGCCATTCTCTGGAGCATCATTTCCCTGTCATCATCCCCGAGCGCCTGTGCTTCCACATATCTGTAGAGGCGCTCCATAAATTCCATGTATGGTTCATGCTCTCCTTGCAAAACCTCATCATCCTCCCATTGGGAAGTAACTACTTCCAGCTTGAAGAAAGCTCGTTCAGCTGCTCGGGCCGTCTCCATCAGCTGGGAGGGGAATAAAGCTCTGGCTTGTTTTGCCCCTTCTGCCCACTGCCTTTCACCCAAAAGATGATCAAGGGAAATTATCAAACCATCTGCATCATGGGACAGGGCCGGATTACCCCAAAGACTCGGGAGTACCTCCGATATTTCCCTCCCCCATTCCCTCACCCAGACTCTGAATTCCATAGGCCTTATAAGGCTGGAGAAGAGTGCCCTCAGATCTGCCGGAACTAAATCTCCCTGGGAAAGGGTATTATGTAGCAAACCCCGGAAGTATTCTGACCTTCGGGAGTAGTCTTTCTGTGCCTTGCACAGCTCTTTAATTCGTGCCTCTGCTAAGGGCACCCACCGAGCCTGAATTGTTCCCTCTCCCCCCAGGTTATAGGTAACCGGGGCCGCTTCTAGTAAAGGCATTTGCTGTGGCTTGTGGCCAGGCACTGCCCCCCCGCCCTCCGTAGGCACTGCCCATTGCCGAGTGCCAGCTATCCTGAGGGAAACTTCGGAGGGAACCAGCTACTAGATGGTTCGATTAGTCTTTCGCCCCTAGACCCGGGTCGGACGACCAATTTGCACGTCAGGACCGCTACGGACCTCCACCAGAGTTTCCTCTGGCTTCGCCCTGCCCAGGCATAGTTCACCATCTTTCGGGTCCTAGCACGGACGCTCACGCTCCACCTCCCCGGCCCCGCGAGGGGGCGGCGGGCGAGACGGGCCGGTGGTGCGCCCGGGGCTGCCAGGCGCGACACGCGCCCCGGGATCCCACCTCAGCCGGCGCGCGCCGGCCCTCACCTTCATTGCGCCGCGGGCTTTCGACTCGGGCCCCTGACTCGCGCACGTGCTAGACTCCTTGGTGTAGTGTCTCGAGCTGAGTCAGCTGTTCTTCAAGAGATCACTAATAAGAGATTATTTGAATTGCTGAATAGGCTCGTCGAGTTAGTCTCTAACCGCGAGCATCCATTCTATGTCATGCATGTGAGATCACACACAGATCTACCTGGGTTCATTGTGGAGGGAAACCGTCGCGCCGATTCTTTAGCGGCGGCTGCTGTTTCGCAGGCCCCCCTCCCAGATGTGTTCAGTCAGGCTAAAATCAGCCACCAACTGTTCCATCAAAATGCCCCTGGCCTGGTTCGTCAGTTCAATCTGACGCAGGAGCAGGCCAAGGCAATAGTGGCCACATGTCCCCAATGCCAGCAAGATCAAATGCCTACCATAGCCTCAGGGGCTAATCCCCGGGGTTTGGCAAGCTGCGAGTTGTGGCAGATGGATGTAACGCACATTCCATTTTTTGGCCGATTGTGTTACGTCCACGTCTCAGTGGATACTTTCTCCGGGGCGATCTATGCTTCTGCCCACACAGGTGAAAGGGCAGCGGATGTTCAGAGGCATCTGCTCCAGGCATTCGCTGTCTTGGGCATCCCTAAGACCTTAAAAACAGACAACGGCCCTGCGTATGTTTCCAAGGAGCTGCAAAGCTTTCTGCAGCAATGGGGAATAGTGCATAAAACTGGCATCCCCTATTCTCCGACAGGCCAAGCCATGGTGGAAAGAGCTCACCAGAGCCTTAAGAAGGTCCTATCCCGGCAACTACCGACGATGAAGGCAGAGACCCCCCAAGTCCGGCTATCAAGGGCATTGTATACACTCAACTTCCTGAATTGCTCTTTTGACAGCCAAAACCCTCCGATAGTCCGACATTTCGGCAGTCACCAGCAGCTGCAGCCTAAAACCAGGCCACCGGTCCTTGTAAAAGATCCGGAGACCTGGCAGACAGAGGGCCCCTTTGACCTGGTAACTTGGGGGAGGGGATATGCCTGCGTGTCCACTCCCTCGGGTCCCAAGTGGGTACCATCTAAGTGGGTCAGGCCCTTCGTCCCGAAGCAGGGGATCAAGAAGGAGGCAGTACCACAGGTCCGGCAAGCATGTTGGCGTCGGCGGAAGAAACTATCCCATCAATCCTCCTCATTCTCTCCAGATCTCACTCCAGTTACTGAAGAACCCTCTCCCCCAGCTTCTCCTCCACCCCTTGATCTTTTATACCACCTTTCCTCCTTTTTCCCCCCGGCTCCAACCATTACCCCTCGTGAGTTTTACTTAAATTGGTTGTTTGGGGAGGAACCATATCTGTGAATCCTGCATACTTTTACGGCTCTCCTTTCATTTCAGTTTTATCTCCCCGAATGGTCTTCGAATTGACTACGCTGGCTCTCAATCCTTGTTTGTTGTTGACCGTACTGATGACCTGCGGATTCCTTCTGCCATCTGTGGAGCCGTGGGTCATTCCCCAGCCAAAAATCAACGTCTGGCGTGCCTTGGCCCAATCATTAGGACAGGACAGTATATGCCTCGACACCGGCGCAGCAGAGGACCCGATGTCGTCTTGCCTTGTGAGGATCCCTTTCTCCCCAGGCGAGTTCCCCCCTGCCTTCCAGTCTGCCCTTTCCCCTGTTTTGGCCCAGAGCCTGACTTTCCTCCCCGGTTTTGAACCCAGTAATGCCTGGAGAAGTGGAGTAGCTAGGCTCAGTCCTGCGCCCTCCGAGCCCACAGAACTGCATCTACTCGGTTCTGCCAACTCCTCAATTTGTTTTCAGTTTGAATATAGTTATGCCCCCATATATGAGGGCAGTGAGGTGGTCCGGCAGACAAAGAAACCAAGGGAGGAGCAGTTTCATTTCCATAGCAACATAACTGGCAGGGTAGCAGCAGGAAGTAATACAGAAAATGGGGGGAGCAAACTAACAAACTTAAGAACACACCACAGCAGTTCAATGCTGTCCAGTGGTTAAAACTGCGGCCTCATGAAGCATTCTGCAGTATGGATACTGTGGAACTGAGATTCTCAGTCTGAGGAGTGTTTTGCAGGTATATCCTTCATCACACTGAACTTCACTCTCTCATGGAGGGGCAGAAGTACCATTTTACCCAGAGAAGGTGCAAGACAAATACAAAGCCAAAAGGAAGTTTATCTGGGAGTTTGTGGGTTGTAAGTGGGGAGTGAATTTTTATTGACGTTCTGTCATTGTATGGACTCACACTAGCCAGTAAAGAAGATCCAGAGCTCTCATCTGGCCTGGGCTTTCAGTCAGACTGTCTTTGCTCCTGACACACCCCATGACAGGAAAACCTGACCTTGTCCACATATCTCTGATGGGAATGGTCTTGTCCCATGTCCCTGAAAGAGGCCAAAACCTCACAGGGACTGTGGTACCAGCTGAACACCACAGGCAGGGATGTGCCAGTGCTGAATTTCTGCTCAGACCCTGTTCTTTTTGCTAGCATAGGTGCAACATAACAGATGCCATGCAAAATGACTGATGTACAGTAGGCATGAGAAAAGGGGTCCAAAATAAGTAGTTTAGCCTAATTTGAAAGAGAAGTTTTTATGCTCTGTACACTGTCCCTTTCACATTCATCTCAAATCTGTTGATCAGTAGGTTAGAGATGACTTACAGAGTTTTTCAGTTCCCAGAAGCTTCATGACAAGGAGGAGAGCGAAGAGGGGCAATGCAAACAGCTAAGTCAGGCTCCACATTGAGATGAGACCATGATTTCAACCTTGTTTGCAGCCAGAGGCTCTTCCTAGCAAAAACATCTCACACTTGTCCTACCATTTAGGCTCAAATTCCAGCCTTCAACCAACAAGTGCAATCATTTCTGGAAGAAACTAGAAGAAACTATGCTTATTTAATCCCCATTCCCAAGCAGCTGTGTATTAGTCTCTGGTGTACACATGATTGCAGGGAGTTTTTGTGTTGTCCTGTTGTGATCTGAAAGTTCTGTTGTGGGAGTGGAAAGCCCTAAGGTGGTGACCACCTGAAACACCATGGTATTACCTTGCGGTGATTGTTTCCAGCTACAGGTTTCCCAGCAAATTATCAAGGTGAAAATAATTGCAGTACAATCTGAAAGAATGGCAGAATTAAGTTTGCAGGCAGGAGATGTGGAAAAGTGACTCAAAATGTTATTTCCAACTGAGAATCTGTTACTATTTTAAATGGATTTTTTCTGATAGCAGTCTGAAGTTAAGTCATCCACAGGAAAGACTATATGATAGCCATTTCTTTCCTCCAGGATTTAGAAGCTTGTAACTCTTCGTGAAAGGCAATAATCCATTTGAATATTTCTTTAATTTGGTTTTAGATGAGGTTTATTAACTGTTGCAGTTGGTTGGTAGAGTTTATGATAACAATAGGTACACTACTGAAATACTTCATCTGTCCTGAGAAAATGTTGTCAGCAGGTGGAAAACTGCACAAGCAAGGGCTAGTGGAAATCTGGAAAACAGCTCTGTGTCCTTGAGATGGCACTTGGGGACCTCAGAGCAATGGAAAGTTTATTTTTGTTCCCCAGGCCAGACTATTTTCAGGCAATGAGGTTTGTATACTCTACACATCTGTTACTGGTGGGCAAGGCAGCGCAACGTGTACTGCTGAGAGATTTCTGCTCTTCTAGTGGGATGGACAAAGAGGTGAGGAAAGATGTGTTTAAAAGTACAGGTATTTATTAGCATGTTAGCAATTGTTTTGCAGCATTACAGCAACTAGCAAAGTCAGCTGATGAAGTGCTAATGAAATCAGAGTTGAATAATTTGAAGCTTTTTCCTGCCAGGGGATGCCATGGGATTGCAGGATAAATGTTATAGTTTGATATGTTGTACAATTTTTGAGAGAAACCCACAGAATTAATTAGCTGGAAGAGTATTTGGCATCTGCTCAGCAAGAACATATGGAAAACTCAGTAAGGTGAGGGTGGGCAGCCCACTCTCCCTGGTCCTGGCATAGTTTAAATCCCATAACTAAAGGAGACCAATTTGTATTTAGCACTACTGGAAACAGAGGTTATTTGACGAGTAGTACACTATGAGTGTCACATTGCTAGATTCTCACACAGTTAGAAAAAGAGTTGCAAACCCTTCACTTCCACGTTCTCTCCGTCCTTTCTGCGGCATTTTGTAATCTTTCAGTGATCTCTTACGTACAGGCTTGTTCAGATCATTATTTCACAACATCTTTTTCATCAAGGAGAGAGGAGGGTTGGATAAGGGGAACTAGGAGCAAGTCATCCTGGACACAGACTGCAAAACATCAGCCACCATTTTCACCAAGAGACAAGAGGAAATACCAGGGAAAAGCAGCTAAAGGTCATGGAATGGCACATTTTTTTGTGTAGTTTACCAGAAGTACATGAAAACAGCTGTAGAGAGAATGGATAAATTATGTTTTAACTTTGGATTGAACTCAGAATTTTGAACAAAAAAATATCTACCTAGGCTATTTATAGCCAGTTCTGTCACAATATTATATGCTATTGCAAATTTATTAGCTGGCAATGTTTTCTAATAAATCAGTGTGCAAGCCATCCTCATAATAAGGATGCTATAATGAGAAGGATTTTTGATTGAGTTCCTTGATATTTTTTTCCTTGGGACTGTTTATCTCCTGTCCTTTTAGGAAATGTCTAAGTTTATATGCCCATATGCTGAGAGAATGAAATACCAGCATGCCAGTGGAAAGTTTTTGTTCATATGGACAATGTTTCAGTGCTGGTGGCCTCTGCAGAAGATGGGGTCATATTTTTTTGACATACAATTGCTCAGCTGCCACCAGAGCATGAAACAATAACGAATTATTATATATTATGTATGGCAAAACAGTTCTTAGCCAAACACGGACTTATTCACATGAAAATTTAGCTTAGAAGCAGTTTTGCATTCATTCTTTTGCCAGTAATATTTGACACAAAATAAAATGTTACTAAAAAGCATTGTAATTGTAAATAAAAAAACTTGCAAATTTATACACAAGTGAATCTGGCTACTCCCTTTTGTCACTATGAATTTTTATTAATCTTGAAAGATTTAATAAACATAATAACATGGAGAAAGAAATCACCTTGCCCCTCAATGCAAATATTTAAAGAACGCAACAGGATCATCGGTGAGTTTAACTCTTAATTTGAACTATTTTGTGAAGTCTTAGAAATCATATGAAAAGAACGGGCTTAGGAAAATGCTCATATTTGAATCAAAGGCAAATTTAAATTCAAGTATTTTCACAGCTATGAGTTGCCATTCATTTCTAATAACACTGTTTTCTTTTCTTCTCCTTTTCTGAATACTACAATAAATGAGTATTGAATTTGAACATGCCACTGGCAAACAAGGGATATTAACTATCAAATAAAATTCATCGTTCAAAAGTCATGTTTTCTTTTGTATTCTTTACACCCCTTCTACCAGCCTAACTTACATAATTAGCAGACATTGATTGCTTGCTGAGTTTCACTACAGAACGTGGACCATATTGTTGGAAAACTACCTGTTAAGGAGGCAGATTCATGAAAAAGTTCAATAAATAATTTCAAATTTCCTAGAAGGGAGATGTCAAACTTAACAAACAGGTTTTCTCAAATTGCTTGCACAGATACATATGGGGATTTCAGACAATGACAACTGAGCACTGTGCTTCCCCTGTCACATTCCTTATTGCCTTTTTTTGCTTTGATTATCAAGAAAACAGAACTCTCAACTGCAAAAGATACAGACGCTGATAGAGCCCAGCAGGGCACAGTCCTGTGGTACAAGATGTAAAAGACACCAACCTTCCCACAAAAGGATCTTGACTTCAGTTCCCAGACACTTCATGGAAGAAGAACTCACTCCACATCTTCATGGAAACATCAATATGTTTATTTTGCTTCATTTCTTACAAACTGGTAATTCAATAAAATTCCATCTGTACACAGAATTGCAGGCAATTAACCAGAAATCCACTGAGTGCCCCAAAGAAAGGCAAGTAACTGTAAAGTACATTAAATTTCAAAGTAGTGATTACATGCACTAAACCCAGACCTTGACCAGCAGAGCTCCACTGATGACAATAATTGTTTCAGCTTTAAATGAAGATCAGAATCAGATCCGGGCTGATTTAATTCTTCAGGGTGCTATTCAGTCCTAAAGAGGGTGACTGTGAGCAAGAGGCAAGGTAGACAAAGGAGGCCAATCAGCTCCCTATGAAAGTGGTGATAATAAATGTTGTCAACTGCAATGGTGAAAGAGTTAATGTTTCCCTGCTTATATACTATCAATAATTTTATTAACTTGTTTTCATTCCATTCTAATGTTTTTGTTCATTTTCAGATTCCATTTTTAATATTTTAAATTCAGTTTTA